AATTCACTGCACCCACCACCCACAGCTGCAAGAGCTCAAAGAATATCCTTTGAGCTGCTGGAAAATGAAACAGGCACTTCTGCTAGAAGGAGCAGGTAAGAGTTTATCTCCATCACAGCAAACATAAGCCAATTAAACATGAACTAAAAACAGGAGGGGAGAGGGAGTGAAGGGTCACATGGAAATTAAAGGTTTGTCATCTACATCAAAATGTGATTATTAGATGTTTTAGTTTTAGGGACTACCTTTTTATTTTTCTGGGAGGGGGATAGTGTTTTAAAAGTTAATTTGAACTGGAAAAGAAACCACCCCACCCTTCCTTTATCCACAAGAAGAACCCTAATCCCACAACTGTAAACCGCAAAAGCTCACCTCCCAGCCTGCTACCAGCAAACAGGCAAACAAGCTGACAGAGAACAACGCAGATTTCTAGCTGGATTCTGTCAAATAGTTAGAGACTAGGCAGCTCAGAATGTTTTTGTTATTCCAAAACAGCCAGTCACACTGAACTTCATATTCTGACCAGCTTGTGCATATCTAAGAACTTTCCCCTTTTAACTGCCACACGTCCCAAGGAGACAGACAAGCAAAAGTACAAAAGTTGTCTGAGTGGCTGGGAGGTGCTCTTCCCCTTGCCCCACATTTCCAAAACACCACCTGTCCAGCGCTCTGAATTGATTGTAGAAACCCGCACAGAATACAAAGAAAAACATCTGCCCGCACCCCCGAGCTGTTTAGAAGCACTGACTTCAGTAGTAAAGCTTTCCTGATCATTTTACAGCAAGACCGCATCACTCCTGCTCCAGATGCAGAGGTGCCCACCTGCTGCATATATACCACTTAGGGTTTACAGCACAACCATAACAATAATGGTATCAAGGATCTAAAAACCTGCTCCACTAGACCAGAGCAGATTTGAAGCCCATTTTCTTGGGGGCAAAAAAGCCTAAAGTAGGCCTTTGGAGAATACCAAAGCTCTCCCTAAAGCCCTATTGTTTAGCACTTAGCCAACATCCTAAAAGCATGAGAGTTTACTTTTTTCAACAGTACCACACAAATACAAACCTTTAGTACTAGAAACCTGAATGACATGAACATTTCTAGAGAAATCTGTGTTCCCTTTAAAGGAGGCTGCTAAGCTCTTAGAGTCAAGGGTAACATCCAGCAACACAAGTTCAAAGGTACAGCTGACTGCTGTGTTAAAAGAGGCGAGTCTTTGTTATTGGGATGTATGCTTTATTACGTTTTCATCGATTGTTTTCTTTTTCTCGCAGGATAAGAAAGACATTTCTATTCATCCTATTAGCCTTCGCTCCATTATTGATCAATACTTTCTATTTTTATCTTTGACAGAGGTAAACAGTCTTCTTTCTGGGGAAACCTGTCTTTATGTCGTCAATAATTATTCCTGTTCAAGCTCCCTACATGGCAAGAACAGTTTCAAACTTTCTGTAAGCAGGAACCATCTTCAGTATTTCCTCTAGATTTCCCACTCCTCCTGTCCTCCCACTTTTGACAGCTTCACAGTGCTCCAGGCAGCTTTCATAAAGCTGTGCCTGAAACCACTCTAGTCCCTCTCCACAATTCATCAGAACCCAGTCACGCACACGTTCCTCCAAAGCCCTCCTTCCACTACACACTGCAGCTGTCAAGGCTGAGTTAGCCCTCATGGAGCAACTGAAATTTCAGAACACCACGAGCATCCAAACAAGACCAATTGTAACTCACCTGAGACGCAAGAGAACACAGGCACAGTAACAGTCTGCTCACACACACCTACCACACCAGCACATGCATACGGTGTCCGTCAGTCGGTTCAGCCCGAACCACAGGAGGCACAGCAAACACAAACCTGTTGCCCACCACCCTGCTGTGGTCTACTGTGCTCCCAGCCCACCCAGCGCCAGGACAGTGACATCCTCCCAATGCCACCCAGGAGCGTGGCAGCACCGGGGAGCGCGGGAGCTGTGCCAGTACGTGTGTGTGCAGGGGGAGTGGGAGGGTGGGCTGAAGCAAGGACATGTGGCGGGCGGGGGAAGGAACTGAGTGGGCTGCACCGGGGGAGGTGGACTATCCCCTCGGGGGTGTACTATCCGAAGAAGGCTGTGCGGGCTGCACTGGGAGCTTGTGGGGAGACGCGCGTGTCTGTCGGCACGGAGACCGTGCGGGAGGAATGTGCGCGGAGGGGGAACGGCGGGGGCGACCCTGGGACGAAGAGGGGGCACGCCGGGGGGAACCGGGCGGAGGGCTGGGGGGAGCGCACGGCGGGGATCGCGGGGGCGACGCCGGGGAGCGGGAGGAGGGATCGGGGCGGGAGGGAGATCGCGTCCACACCGGGACGATGCGAGCGAGTTCGTGGGGGCCGTACCGAGCCACCCCCCCACCAGCGCGGCTCCTCCTGCCCGCCCGCAGCCGCCCCCGCGCCCCGGCTCGGCTCGGCGGCCACCCTGCCCCCGCCACGTCTTACCCTGCAGCGGGCGGGCGGGCGCGGCCCAGCCCGGTGGGGCGAGGAGGGGTCGGGTCGAGCCCTGCCCCGCTGCCCCGCGGGCGGCGCCGGCACCGGCGCGGGGGCGCGGAGGCCTCAGGAGCCCATGGCGACGCCGGGCCCGGCCCGGCCCTCCCTCCGCGCCTGCGCACGGCCCCGCGCGCCCCGCCCACCGCCCGCGCTCAGGGGGGCAGGGTGACGTCACCGCCTCGCTCTTAAAGGGGCGGGGCCGCCCGGGAGGGTGACTCGGGGTTTGCCGCAGCGCCGGGAGGAGGGATGAGCTTCCCGGAGATGGGCGCTCAGCAGCGCTCTCCCCCCACCGGGCCGGCTAAGGACAGCACTGCCCTGAGAAAGATTCCCCCCGAGGCATATTTCCACCTCTATCTCAGCGCTGTTTTCGCCCGCACTCCGAGGGAAAAAAAAAATCAAACACAGAGCTGTTGGGAACGTCCCCCAAACTCCCCAAGGAAAAAAACGTACATATAGATACGGGTGTTGGAAACCTAAGTGGTGCCTCTATTCGAGCCAAAACAAGGCATTTTCAATCTAAAAAAAAAAAAAAATAAAAAAATTAAAAGCCCCAAACCAAGCCCTAAAACCTTTAATAAGCCCACAAAGTGCCTGCACAGAGGGCTGCATGAGCAAGAGGAGGTGACATCCCGCCTGAGATATGCCTGATGAACTTTCTCCTTTTCTCCCACTGCTTTAGGACACTTGTCCTCTCGAAACACAGGTGCACCATAGAGCTGCTAACCCACACCTCCTAAAATGGCAGCATGTTTCCCCTCTGTCACAAGACAGTACTCCTACCCGAAACCCAGCAATCACTCCTGAATCCAGCCAGATCATGGCTCTGCTGCCTGCACCACACTGCAGTGATGGGGGTGTTGTCTTCCACACAGGCAATGTTCCTCTTTCTCACTGAAAACAGGATTTACAAAGGAAAAAAGTCCAGTTTCATTCTGATCCATCAAAACCACAGTCAAAATGGAGGCAGGACAAATGCAGTTTAGAGGCAGCAGTACAATACCCCTGAACTACCCTCTTCTTCCCTACCCTCCTACTCTTCTCTCATCCCAGAAGCTGGAAGCCTCACACAGCAGGGAAATGAAGGAGCAGCTCTTCCTGCTCAGCTGGCAGAGAACAGGCTTGGAAGGAATTTCCGAAGTCACCAAGATCTGTCCATTTATTCTCAGCAGGTGTTTCTGAAAATCAGTTTCAAGAGTTTTAGAAAGCCTGGCAGTAACAGGCCTCTCATCTGGACAATGCAGGGACGCGTAACTACAGGAGCAGAGATTTAGAAGTAAATCAGTATTAAAATTTAGTAATTTACTGTCAGACAGGTCAGACAACCAAAGAGGGAAACCCAAACAAACCACACTGCCAGAAACACCAAAGCAGCAGGTGCCACTTCACAGGGAGTTCAGCCTGTTTTCATCAGGCACAGTGGTGGTGTTAGGTGCTCAGGGCTGACACCCGGGCCCCTCCTCTTCCCATTCCTTCAGGATTTAGGTAAGAAGACAGAAGAAAGCAAGAAAACACATAATCCAGGGTCCACCTCTGTTGAAGTCAGTGCACACCCAAAGCCAACAGTGCAGACAGTCCCATCCCTCTCCTGCTGAAGGCCAGATGCACAGGACGCCAGAGGCTCAAATCCAGGAACCAAGAGATCCTGAATCAGATTTCACATAACTCTTGCCTGTTCCAAGGCTGTAACTGCAGAGATCAGCTCAGGTTTATTTTTAGGCGCTCCAGTCCTGTGCCTTTTTTCCAGTAATTCTGATCAAACTTGTTCCTGGAACTCAGAAACAGGTTCAGCTGCAAGACAGTGCTTCCTGCATGTAAGATGTGACTCCCAGCAAAGATACCAGGGCCAGTGAAGGAAGAAATGACAGATGCTGGCGTCACTTTATCATTTTCTACTTTATTACTTCAAATTAACAACCACGATAAAGCTCAAAAAAGTCCAATATTTACACAGGAAAAAAGTACAAAATCCCCCCCAAAGTTCTTCAGGTTTTTTTTTTTTTTTAAATTACAAAGTAATAAAAAGTTTTGCTCTTTAATTAAAAAAAAGAGAGAGACAGTAAGAGGGGTAAATAAATTAGGAAAAAAACAGGGAGGAAAAATGAAGTGTTAAATAGAAAGGGTAAAAACAAACAAAACAAAGACTAACCCCACCCTCCCCGCCCTGCCAACAACCCATCGGCTCCACACTACAGTGACAGTGTGTCTGCTACAGGCCATAGGTCGCAGTGGTGATCATTGTGTTTCAAAGCCCCAAGTGCCACAAAGCAGCTTGAGTATTCCTAAATTATATTTAAAAACAACTAAAGTGGGGGGGAAAGGGGGGGGAGACGGATGGGAGAGGGCAGGAAGGGATTGTGCATGTATTGGTGGATCTTACTTGGGGTTGCATGAGGGAAGGAGAGAGCAAGAGCCATCGCTCTGATAGAACTCCAAACTCCCGTTTCTGTGCGCCCCTCTCTTCTCCTCAAGTCCCACACTCTCTCCGCAGGAATTAAAACAAGTTTTAATTAAAAAATAAAAATAGAAAAACACGCACAGCCAGACGAAAAAAAGACCCCGCTGCAGGGATGAGAAGTATATTTCTCCCTGTATTCCAGCTCCAACGATCCCATCCTCCATGGCACCAGCTGCCTCTCCATAGAGATCCCTCCGTGTGTGAGGACTGCTCGGTTCAGGGAAGGCTGGCACTTCTCCCAACATCCAAGAAAGAAACCGCAGAGAAGCCACCCAAGGAAAGGAAGCCCGAGTCAATGATTAGGCTGTTGCCACAATTCCCCTCACAGCTTAAAATTCGTTTAATGCTCAAGAAAATAAATTCTGTTATAATAATAAAAATCAGACTTCTACCATCAAGTGTGGCTGGAATCTGATTCGCTCCTGGCCCACAAGGCTCCTGAAAAGAACAAAACAAAAAAACAAACAAACAAACAACAAAAAAAAACCAAACAAAAAACTCACCCCCCACCCTGCACCATCCCTTGCCCTCAGATAAAAAGGAGAGCAAAGTTAAAATTTATATGGCTAGAAACCATATGATTTCAAAATAATATTTACAAAAAAAAAAAAAAAAAAAAGCAGGGGAAGATACCCAAGAAGAAAAAAAAAAAAAAAAATAGAGAAATCAAAACCAGGAGCAGAGAGTCAGGAGAAGGAACGGGGGGTAGCCCGTGGGGGCGGCGGTCAGGGCTGGGGGGGCAGCGGAGGTGTTCCCGCACGGCTCCCGCGTTGTCAGCTCCTCGGAGGCGTCGCGCTGGGGGACGCAGGTGGCCCTCTCGGAAACGGCTCACACCAGCGCGGGGGCACAGCTCGACTCCTCATCGTTGGCAAAAAGAAATTCTGTTGGGTTTTTTTGTTTGGTGTTTTCTTTTTTTTTGTCTTTTTTTTTTTTTTTTTTTTTTTTTTTTTTGTTTTTTGGGTTTTTTGTTTTTTAAAAGAAAAATACAGTGAAGACACTAGAAAGAGAATTCAAAAGAGAGAAGAGACATTAGGAGAAAAGATTCTTCCCAGCACTTCCAATGCCAGCTGGAGCATAACAAATCATATCAGCCCTTTCTTCTACACTCCTGCCTCCCCTTGGAGTTACCTTGCCCAGCTACTGTCATTTCCTCTACAAGAGGCACTCACTGGCTGTGCAAAGTCTCACACACTTGATTACATGCTCAGCACCCTCCTCCCCAACACTGTCACACTGCCAGAAAAGCATTCATGAGGAACTAACAAAATGGCTCCCCAGCCCAGCACCTTATCCACCCTCCCTACCCTCCTGGAGAAATGGAAGCTACCTTCACACTTAAAGACAATCCATCCCCTCAAGGTTTTGGCAGCCAACCTTACTCTTCCCTCTGAAGCCAAAAACATCTCAAAGTAAGATGAAAGGAAAGGAAATGTACCAATCCCCCACAACATCAGCAAAGTCTTAACCTAAGGCTTTTTTTTCCCAGCAATTTCACCCTTGGGGGTTCCCAGGCATAGGACAGGCTCACCTAAGCAAACACTGGTCCAGTGGCAATTGCTCCTCACTTCCCAAGGTGATCAAATGGCACACTTGTCTACAAAAGAAAAAGAGTTGCTAAGGGTTGGAGAGGAAAAAGAAGACACCAAAACAGAGAGGCTGCACGTTTCTTTCAGGACATTCTTCCTCCCAAGAGTTTACTATTCCACTCCTCCAAACCACTGTGGTCTGGAAGAGAACCAGACAAAGTCTTACTCCAAGCAAAGCAGAGCTAAGATGACAGTACTGAGCACGGCCTCCAGAAAATATGTAACTGAAGAGTGAAGGTGTAACTTGGTACCACTCCCCTCACCACACTAGAAGCTTCAGGCTCATGTCAGCTCCAACAGATCAGCCAAAAACTACTCTGGGGCCCATAGTACTTCTGGAGTATCCAGTCCAAGGCCATGAACATGGCAGCAGGGACTCACCTGTGATGCTGAAATCCGTGACACTTCTTGCCGCCCTGTGAGGTCAGATGAGGAGACGTTGGCAGGAGCTCCTCGGTGTAACCTCATGCTGACCTTCCGCTCCCTGTCCACTCTTGAGATTGCTCTGGGGGACGTGTTGCCTGTCAGGGCAGAGAACCATCGAGGCAAGAATATCAGTCAATGATTTTGGTTTCTAGCCGACAGCAGGGGTGGAACTCTCCCCAAGCTCTCCCATCCCACTCACCGGACTGCTGGATTCGGGAGGTGGGGGTGGAGGCCATGGGCTCAGTGACATTGCGAAGACGGTTGGCAGTGGCTCCAGCAGGCGGGCCAGGGGGCAGCGCTCGTGTGGCTGACCCTCGGAGTTGCCCCATCCTCTCCTCTCGTTCGTGCTCTCGCCGCTCCCGATCCATATCCTCAGGGTTCCGGGCTGCTCCCTGAGGAGAGAAACCCCCACACCACACATGGCTGTCAGGCAGGAGAGATAGCAGCAGCCCCGGACAGAAAACACATGGTACTCCATCATGCCAAGGAAGTGGAGCTCCGTCCCCAAAACATGGTCTCCCCCCACTATCTTCCACTGCACCAAGAGAGGACCTCATTCTGTTCCATGAAGAAACAGAGAAGAAAGCATATGGTACTATAGCTGTTACTGGAATCCACTGTCCCACCTCCAATTATAGTCCTCTCCTGAAAAATTATCTCTACCTACCTATAGCTACAGACCAGACATACTCACTAATACAACAGTAGCTATACCCCCAGTTTGCACCAAGTAACTCTGCCTCTCTTCACTCTACCCGTCCCCTTTGTCAAGTTGTTCACCAGGGCTAAGTACAAACAGCAGGCAGTTTCCAACTTTCCTTCCCCTCCCCATGATAAAAAACAACTCCCCTCCAGCCCTTTTGCCACACACACTCACAAATTTAAGCATGTTCCAGTCAAAGACGTAGTCGTAGGAGAAGCCTTGGCGGTGGAAGAGGTTGCGGAAGAGTTGCCGCAGGTACGAGTAGTCAGGTTTATCATCAAACCTCAGCGAACGGCAGAAGTTGAGGTATGTTGAGAACTCAGCTGGAGAGAGCAGAGAACAGCTGGCTGTTGAACACCATCCAACCTCCCATGCCCTGCCATGGAGCCACTGCAGCATTTCAGCAGTGGCTTGCTGGACCAGGACAGCACACACACAGAGCTGTATAACAAAAACTGAGCCTGCTGGTTTGGTTGCAGTGCTTCAGCCACTTAGAAAACCCCATCCCTATTTTTACCACAGAAAATGCTCACGCATCTTTGTCGGTTTCTCCAAGCAAGACTTAGCAAGTCCTGCAGAGCCTGCTGAAGGACAGTAAGAATGCAGGCCTAAAGAAGAGGTGGAGGTGAGCTTTGGGAATTTTAGCTCAAATCAGAAGTCCTCCTAGTTCAGTAGTCTATCTTAAGCAGTAGCCAGAAGTAGACAGCTACAGAGGAGAAAGCGTGAGGCAAGCATGTCTGACACTTCTATTAACATTAGCCCAGCTCCCACCTACTTTCAGCTCCAGGAACTTCCTGATCTGGATGTGGTTTCTGACTATTTAGTAACTCTCCACGAGTCTCTCTTCCATGTACTTGTCCCATCTCTCCTTGAACTCCAGTAAGCTTTAAGTACCCACATCAACTTCTGGGAATGAGTTCCAATACTACTATTACAGTCTACTACTGGCTGTGTGAAGAACCGCATCATTTTGTTTTGAAGCTAGCAGAAACCAGCTTTGTTTCTCTTCCAATACAAAAACTGGGGCCACCAAATAATTGTCTCCCACTCTGACTTCTGCAGGCATAGCGAGTGCATAGATTTCTATCATCTCTCTAATCACCTCTTTTCCAGGTTCCAGCAAACTTGTTACTTGTGTAGAAATCACCTCACCTCGGTTACCCTCTTGGCCCTTTCCTGGACCGGTTTCCAGGTCTACCACATCCGGGATGGACCAGAGCTACTCAGTGCACGCAAAGTGCAAATAGGCCATGGGCTTATGCACACTGTTTGCACAAAATTGCTGTGCACAAAATCTCTGTTTCCACAGAATCACCTATTGTAATTGCAACAGCTCATTGATGAGCGGCACTGGTCAGTCAGAGTCTACTATTGTGCAAATGATGTGAGGACCAAGACTTCTCTCTGTTCTCACATATATTACCCATGTTTACCTACAAAGAACTCCAATTGCCACTTCACTGCCTGGCTATTTCTGGGACTCTTCATTAACCAGTAAAAACTCAGGATCACCAGCGTACCTTCTCAGCTCATTGTCCATCCCGCTTCCAAACTGCTACTGAGGTCCTAAAGATCCCTCTATCCCTCTCAGGACTCTCACGCCCTTACTAACATAAGGTTTCACTCTCCACAAAAACACATTTCCCCCTTCTGAATCAGAACTGTACCACCTGTTATCCTTCTCATCACTGGTGTCAGCAGCACATCCTGGTCTGGGGTACCAGGCACTGCTCTTTAGGATTCAAGATTCCATGGGGTTTCAGCAGGTGAACAAGCCAAGCAGCAGACAGGACAGCCATCAAGACGAGAGCACTTACAAGGGTACCCTTTGCAGAGCACCTCGATGGGCGTTGACATCTTTTTCTCGCTGATCCTCTCGTACTTTTGGCGCTTGGTGGCAGCCTTGAGGCCCTGCCAGGGCAGCGAGCCCAGGTTGAAATACATGAGCACATAACCCAGGCTCTCCAGGTCATCACGGCGACTTTGTTCTGTGAGAAGTTACAAAGGGGCAAGGAGTGAGCAGCAATCAAAAGTACTCTGGCAATCACATAGCTTTGGTGCTAAACACAGAACAGAACAATCACTCCTCTCTCTTCTTTGGTACATTTCTATGGATAGACAAACTTGTAGAAGACATTCCAGTGCAAATTCCTGCGAGGACGGTCATATTACAAGAGTTAAAGTGCTCCTCTCCCCATATGGCCCCACCCACTTCATAACTAATGACTCTGACTACCTCCTCACTTGGACAAGCCTTAATTCACACAAGAATTTAACAGCTCAAGAAGTGCTGCAGCAACACTGCCTACTTTGCTCTTCCCAGTCCCAGAGGAAGGGCACCTACACTTCTCCACCCAGAATGATTCTTCAACTCAGGGATTAGTCATGACAGAGGTAGTCACAGAAAGACAAGTCTAACAGAGGTAAGCCCAACACAACCCTTTCAAACACATCTTCTAATTAAACTGCTGATACTCTTTAGGCAGGGCAGAAACAAGGAACTAGGGACCCCTTCTAGTAGTAAACAACTTTGTTAATTGTTTAGAGGAGTCTAACATGTAATACTGTGCAAAGATGTCTTTCCAGCTTGGTGGCATTTTTCAAGCTGTGGAGGAAAGGGGCATACTTTGAACAAAAGGTTCCCCTCCAAATAGGAAATGACTGTGTAAATGGCAGCACTACCAACTCTACTAGGAGCAAGGGTTGCCCTTAATATGCTATTGCAAGGGCTTGCTTTTAGATGCTTACTTATGGAACAAAAAAAATTGCCTCACAAAAAAAAAAACCCTTTCACATTGAACTTGTTCTCTGGAATAGCCAAGCCATTTTAAGTTTCAAGCTAGCTCAAGATGGATTTGATGCAGAATCTCAACAACTGCAAATGTTGACTGGTTAACTTGTGAAACTCCTCCCAGCTCCTCCAACATGCTTGCAAATTCATCTATAAATCTTGCCAAGAAGCTCTTGCCCTTGTTTTCCTCCCAAATAAAATAAACATTTTGGAAAAAGTACTTTACATCTCGAGTAGAACAATCACTGACACAGACAACAGGCAGGCAAAATATGGCTTGAGGGAGAGCACAGGGATAGAGGAAAGACTAAAGAGAATCACCTATTAGATTAATTCACTACTACAGCCCATTTTGCTGGATTCAGTGCTACATCCTAGAAAATGCTGCAGATTATGTGTTGGTCTGTGGGTTAACTGTCAGTATCAGTTACACGCTACCACCTGCCCCATTCAAAGGCCAGTAGATCATTACAGCTACCCCTTATTCTGTTAGCTGAGCTAAACCCTGACAAAAGAGTAGCTTGTAGCAGGTCACAGATACAGATGTCCAGCTCCTGAGGGTCAACATGGCTCTTTCTTCTTTCTGCATCTCTCTCATAGTCTCCTAGTGGTTTTGAGAACTGGAGGCTTGCTTGGCAAGTTAAAACTACTGAGAGGGAAAAAAAAAAATGGAAGCAAAGGGGTTGCAGAAGAAAAGGGTCTTATTCCTTCATAACTGAGAGAAGAGAGCCTTTGGGTCAAAGCACATGAAACACCATAAAACCCCCCAAATTCCAAGACAGGAGTAGAGGAGAAAGCAGCCCTGCAGATCCCCAAAGTGTTTTATTTTGAGCATGCAGAAATAACAGCATTTTTTGACCTCACTAACGTACTGCCTCAAGTTGCCCACTTTAAAGGGGCTAATACGTCCTTATCTTATCAGGCTACTGCCAAGGATAATTACATGATTGTCTGGGAGATGCTTAGATGCTATGGAGGGAGCAGAGAAAAGAAACTGAGTTTGCATTTGGCCTCAGGTTGGGATATGTGTACTCTCAGAGGGCTGCAATTACTCATCCTGCATATCAAATAAACAAAACCGAACAATATTTGGTAATGACCTACATCCTTAGACAGGAGGCATGTGGAGTCAGAAGGCACACCCAGGGCCTGAAAGTACAGGAGACAAGGGTAATCTCAGTCCTGCAATCTGGCAGCCCTTGACTTATCCATGCTGTAGCTTTAAAGCGTCTAACTGCGAATTCTTGTCTAGAGCGTGGTAGTGCTCTAGACAAGAGGAGTAAGGAAAGGCAGGGCAGGAACCAGAGAAACCTACTGAACAAGCAAATCAGCCTTTCAGGAATAAATCACGATCTCGCCTCCAAAATCTTGCTTGAACTCCAAACTGCTTAGGGCAGGCTGAATAACACACCTCTACTTGTGTGAAGCACAGCAGTTTTGAGCACAGTCACCAACCCTATCCAGAACAGGATATGTTCTGTGAACATATGCCTGGGCACAGTCCTAGCGATTTGGGGAAGGCCTGAATTAAAGACTTGAGATTAGGGAGCCTGAAGTCATTGGGAGATGCTACAAGGCCTTAGTGAAGGTGATGAGAGGGGTTACAAAACCAAACTGGGAAGCTAACTAGTATCCATTACATGCGTGCAAACACACCTTAACTGTGCCTTAACACAGCAACATGGTCAAGGAAAAACAACTGCAAGCAAAACACCTAATTATTAAAATTCCGAATGAATAAGTGTTTGACTGCGTTGCAGCCCCAATGTTTAGTACCTCACGTACTGTGGCAATTGTAGCCCACTTAAACAATTTCACTGAGATTCAAATCTATGATAGGCCTGAAGTATCAACACGATGGGTCACAGATGTGCAGCTACCTCAAAACATTGTAGCAGTCTTTCATCTGTAACCCTAACTGCAAGATCCTGATTTAAATCTTGGATGATTCTGAAGGACAGCAGTTCCTACATCCCGTTTCTTTGTTTCATCTTCAGTTACTATTACACAGCTCCCAAGCTTAATTATTTCTTTTCCCTGGCCTCATATACCAACATTCCCAGGATACTAGATAACATTAGATAGTAAAGAGTTAGAAATAAAACTTTACCTCAACGCACCAAAGAAATACTATTTAGTATCACTACTTTCCACCTTTAGAAGTCTGACAATCAGTGACTAACACTCACACCATCCCTGGGATGCAGGAAGAAAAAAATCTCACTTTGCAGTTTGAAAAGAGAAAGAAAAATACAAGTAACGTGAACGCATGCTCAGAGTAAGTTAGTCCAGAAGCTGGATTACAGTCATGACCTGTGATACTTCCTCTCTCCATTTTATTTCAGCTTCTCAGTTTTCCTACAACGAGGGGGGGGGAAGGTTTGAAAGACAATTTTATGAAAATGTATTTTTCATAAGACACTCATCCTTTCCTCCCTCCCTCCCAAAACCTCTTCCAATAGAAACACAAGGTCATCTTCCCACACAAGCCAGCACAACCCCTCAAACCCAGCCTCTCACTCTGGAAGCAATCTCCTGCCAGTTCCCTCCTCCCACTCCCAGTGAGGATCGGAGCCAGCCCACACCCTCACTCCCTTCACAAAGCAGGGTCCTCAAAAGCCAAGTCAGGGGTGAGTAGCAGGACAGGAAAAGACATGCTTGGGCAAAGACGGAAGACTGAGGACTGGTTGTCTTGGACACAAAGTTCCTGACAAAACATGTTTCTTTGCAACCTAAACTGCCTTCTGGTCCCTCTGTCCAGAGAGTGTTTCCCTCCACTCTGATTCTGTTCAAAGTGATGCTGCTCCCATGCAAGACTCCCTAGAAATTAGCTGTCTTCCCTGGAGCCAGCCCAGCTCTGCAAGCAGGCTTAATCAAGCAATGTTTTTCTCACTATATACTCAAATCTGATCTTGCATAAGTTGCACTACAGTTCCCCTTTCTCTCCCCACTGCATGGCAACAGCCTTTAAAAACACACACAGAGATCTGGAATGGGTGACAGAGGGCAGGGTGAGCAGGAGGACTTTATGATCTGCACAGCCTACACTGATGCCATCTAGGACACGCACTTGGGAAGGCACTGTCCCCCACCTCCCACCTCCTGTTACCAGACAGAGTCCACCAGGCTTCTTCCAAGACTGTCTCCTGGGCACCCTGGGCATCTATTTCAGACTTTACAAGCTACAGTGGGTGCAAGGGACTCTCATCCCTAGAGCATGTGAAAATTGACTGGAATGTGTGAAGCAAAGCCTGCACAGACCAGTGACTCCCCCAACGGCAAGTCTCCAGCTGTGGAAACCCTCCCCAATCTCGCCTCCTACTTTTTTCCCCAGTCACTGGGAAAAGAATGTGTTTCCTCCAGACATTGGAATGTCCAACCCTTAGCTTGCACATTCAAATAAAGGCATTTATTCATTTGCTATTCCTGTCACACGAATACCCCAGCACCTGGTTCCTTCTCTCTCCCTAGAGCGCATTAATGTAACATTAAGACAGAGAGTTTAGTCTCTGAAAAGTCAAAAACTTCAGAGTCATGGTTCCCATGGCAATGCTGCTAACTCACAAATGTGTCTGTCATATACCCTGTGGCGAGGTCTTGAGAAACAGGAACTCCAGCTGAAACCTCAGCACCTTCATCCCCTTTCCTCCAGGCAAGTCATGTAACCTTTATGCTGTTCAGGGGAACTATCTGCAACGTGGAGATAATACATCTGAGACCTGTTGTGCCAAGTAACTCACACCCAGACTTTCCCGAAGCAAAGGGCATGAGGAGAGCGGTGGCTGTGCTCAGACTCATGGCATATGCAATTTGCCCTAGGATTACTGTTTAGACATTGTTTGTTCGTCCTGACACACAAGCCAAGCACCAGTAGTAAAGGGCTAAGTTGGGGTGGGATGAATAATGAAGTCATTTGAAAACCACAGCCAGACATTTAGCCTCTCGTGATCAGTTCAGGCAGAGCAGGCACACACATAAGAATCAACAGACAGAGTAGTGATAATTATTTTGTGCATGTCTCCTTGTGGCAGTTTCCATGGCTGTGGAAATCTTGACTGAGAATTCAACGGAGAGTCAGTTATATATATGCAGGTCAAGCCAAAATACAGAAGGCCAACTTGGAAAGCTCTACAAGAAGTATTTTTACAGCATGGAGGAGGTCAGGAGATCACAGCCCACTCTCAACACACAACACTCCCCATTTTTATATAAATAAAGCATTTTCCATCTACAGCTATACAGTATTAAACAAAGAAGACAGTGGGAAACCACTTTATTTTCTGCAGGTCAAATATTGACTCCAGATATCTGAGAAATATCTGCAAGAGGGGAGAGTGCAGGAAAAATGAGGTCATGGAATCCTGTGGAAGCCGCTAGTTTAAAAGGTTTGAGTTCCTTGCTCTGACTTTCAAATTCTCAGGTTATACATTTCAGAAGAAGGTCTCCCAGAGACACAAACTGAGCTGTAAACACAGTAGCTATTTTCCTGGGTTCACAGGCAAGACAGCTTCCGTGTTTCTGCTCCTCAGATTTGCCAGTTAATAGCAGGACCAAGTCAGCCTGCTCAGAACAGACCGTATGGTAACTAAGGAAGCCTCATACTGAGAACAAAGTTTAGCAAAAATTTAGCAGAGGAAGGAGGTCAAACACCGGAAAGAAGCTTTTGGTCAGAGAACAGAAGAGAAAACTGCAAGAGGTTTTCAACTGTGTTCCTCACACCCACCAGGGGCTGATTCCCAGGACAAGAATTTGGGTGACTTCAGGAGGTCTGAGCACGGTGGGCACTAACCTGGTCAAGGTTTTTACAAAACCTGGGATGATGGTCAGCACCAGTGCAAGACCTGGCTGAGCTCTCAGCATGCTTTCCCAGCCTAGTTTCATTACCACGGTACTAACCATAGACACTGAGGGCAGAGCCCTACCTCCCTAAAGCTGCCTCAGTGGTGAACAGGGTAGTGTGGTTCACAGACACACAGGTATTTTGAAGAACCATGATAGCCAGTTCTCAATCACAAAACCTGGATGTCCAGCCAGCTGGAAGCCTTCCCTCATTCCAGCTTCCTGCACACTTTCAGCAAATGGCTGGCCCCACCTTCAGTGGTGGACTATATTGCAGCAGGCCTGTACCTCCAGCTCTGACAGCTACAGAATAATCACTGATGAAGGTGCTTGGGAGTCAACAAGAAAGGTTTCAATTGCACACATTCCTAAAGGCGCAGTGCCTATGAATGTCTCCTTTACACATCTAATCAGCCTTCAAAAATTGTGCAAGGCAGATTCAGTAGCCGCAGAGTCACAGAGGTCACAGCCTTGACGCTCAACAGGGTCCCACTGCACTAAGCGGTGAGTGCACAAACACACAAACTGGTAAGACAATGTCTGTCTTCAGAAGCTTGAAGTGCCACCAAAGGCAGGAGGGGTAACACAGGTGTAGCATTTCAGTTACTTGCCCACCATCTCAAGGCAGGTCAGTAGCGGAATCAGGCACAGAACCCAACTCCCTCCTTCTGGGGACACACTACCTCCCCTAGAAAACCCCACCAAGGGGAAACAGCAGGCTCACCAATTCCCAAGTGAGTGTTGATAGAGGCATAACGGGCTGTGCCAGTCAGATTCTTGTTTTCCCGGTAAGGGATGTGCTGGTGGGTCCGGGCATCTCGGTACTTCTTGGCCAAACCAAAATCAATGATGTATACTAGGTTGCCTTTTTTGCCGAGGCCCATAAGGAAGTTGTCTGGCTTTACATCCCGATGGATGAAGTTCTTGGAATGAATGTACTCAATACGGCTGATCTGGAGTGGGGGATAAATAAATAAATTGTGAGACAAGCAAGAAAAAACCTACCTTAACTGCATCTGCTAAAAATAGTACCCTGTCCAGGACACTGACCTGTCAGAGTAGGGAAAAGGACATTTCACAGAGAATATCAGAGATGACAGCCAAGGAAAAGACACCCTTTGGAGGCTGCAGGATCTGTAGATGGAATTCAACCCTGCACACCAGCCCAGTCCTCACTCTGGGGAGGTCATCATTAACGCCACAAGGAAGGGTGGGAAGCAAATCTGCATGGACTAAAACTTTGAGCTTCAGCATTGACAACTGTCAGCTTTCAAACTTAGACAGCCTGGGAAGGTAGGGCGTCCATCCACAAGAGCTAAGGGTCTTAAACACAGGGCATGGGCAGTTGAATTGAGATACGTAGTGATGCCAATCATTCATCATGCAGGCAAAAGTATCTATGTGTGCAACACTAACACAGGGTGAGCAGCAGGGGAAGGAAAGAGAGATGGAGATCGGGAAAAGTCATCAGTGTCTAGGTTCCAGGCCCCCAACTTCCTCAAGAAATAGAAAGCTGGCAGCCACTTGTCACTAAATGAAGAAAGCTTGGGATATAGCAGTTCTTAAGCAGAGGAGATGGGAGGGGAAAAAAAAAAGGCATGGAAAAGGAGAGTAGGCACAAATGCTTCAGAGGAAACTCACCATCTGGTCTGCCAGGAGCAGAACTGTCTTGAGACTAAATTTGCGGGAACAGAAGTTGAAGAGATCTTCCAGGCTGGGCCCCAAGAGCTCCATCACCATCACGTTATAGTCCCCCTCTGCTCCACACCACTTAATGGAGGGGATACCCACTGGGGAAAGAGAAAGATTAAGCCCTCGGAACAGAGACTAGATGCTGCATCCCCTGCTGAGAAGATCATATGTAACACCAAATCATTTCTTTCCTAAGGCCCTCCAGAATAATTTCCTTCTTCAACCACTCCCCCGGCCCCATCTTCTCCTCCCCATCTCACCTCCTCCCTGCATCATCTTGTAGAACTTGCTTTCAATGTGGAGCTGGGGATGCTTGGTTTTGACACATTCCAGTTTGATGGCCACCTCTTCACCAGTTGCAATATTGGCTCCTGCATAGAAATGAGAAGTGAAATGAAGATTGCGCAAGCTTCCACTGAAGTTAAACACTTTTAACAAGGCCTGTAAAAATGCCAAAACCTTATGATTTGCCCTGAGATTTATTCTCTGTGACAGAAATGAGATTCAGCCACTTCATAGAGAGTTTCCAGCGCTGCCATTTGCAAACGCAAGGCCAGAGAAAGGCATGTGAATAGGAAACCAAGTCTGACCCTACAACCCAGGCTAGAACAACAATCTTGCAACATGTTAACTGCTTTGTTATCTCAAAAAGTACCAGACTTTGGGAGGTCAATCTGTACGTATCAACAGTACCTAAGCTAAGTGGAAGTTGTAGCTGCCTCTGATCATATAGCCAGACCCTGAATGCAAGTCACCCCCAGGCAGTGATACAGAGTATCTCTTCCCTAGCAAAATTACTAGTTACCTCAGTTACATCATTTCAACAGAGCCAATTAGTTCAGGAGAAGACATTACTTACATTCCCAGCTATCTGTTTTCTCCGCAGCCCTGACCTGCTCAATACAGACAATTTCTAAGTCCCCAGCTTCTCCCTCTCCTGAGGGCTTCAATAATACCTTTATCTTTTGCCAACACAGAAACATTTGCTATATCCTAAATTAGAAGCGTGAAGAAATAAACTGAATCCAGTCCTGAATTAAGCTGCCCAGACACCTCTGTTGAAGGGATTGCTAGATACTTTGTGACGACACTAAATCACCACCCCACACACTTCTCTCTAAAAACAACCGAGCTGCCAGCTGTGAAAGCCAGCACTCTGGTCCCAAAGTGCACTGTCAAAGAAGGAACAGGCTGCTCTCTCCCTCATAATAGCTGAAAGGATTCCAGATGTTTCACATCATCCTAAAATGGAAAGAATTAATATCTGTACACAGGTCACGGGAATGACACTCAAGTTTTGCTTCTCCCCCCCTCCCGCCATGCCGGCCTCACACACACACGCAGACAAGCCCTTCCTCGTATCTGGAACTATTAGAAGTTGCACTCAAACACAAATCAGAGAGCTGCTCTGATCATGAGCAGCTTGTGAACACTGTCATAAAATAAACTACTCCAGAACACGCATGCCAAACATGAGCTGGAGTCAAAGGTGACGTTTTGTAGATATCCCATAGCTAGTTTTAGTAGGTCTGGCTAATTTGTACCTCCTGAACCCTGTGATAAGACTTTAAGAGTCCACAAGGACAGCTGCAGATAAATCTCTCCATTTATCCTCTTTCCCACACCTCCTCCAGAGCCAGGGACCAAAAGAAAAAAAAGGAATTGTTCACACAACTGGATCCCTTCTCCCCCTGGATCCTAAGGATCTCCTGTTGAAGAGTTCTGGCTTGTACACAAATTTAGCCAAGAGCTGCCTGCTAGCAAAAAGACATAATCTAGATGCTATAGCGCCAGGTCGAGACAGACAAGCTGCTAGGAATTTGTAAGAGAGCAACAAAACTGTTCGGGGCCTAGAGGGATTGATTTACTAAGAAAGATTAAAAGAGCTAAATATGTAACATAGACAAGAGATACAACCAAGAAGGGTGGGGAGGAAGAATGGGACATGACAACAGTCTGCAAATATTTGAAGGCTGTAAACACTAAGGAGGGAGAGGAATTATTTAGGGTGCTATAAGGGAGGGGAAGGAGGAGCAATGGGATTAATTTAATAAGGATTTTAACACAGGATTCAGCAGAAGGGAAAGCCAAAAAGCCATCCTCAGAGGTAGAGCCAATGGTTACTTTTGAAAAGATGCTGCCATTTTCCACTTAAAAACTCCTGGCCAGAAAAACAAGTCTACATTTCCTTCACTGCACCACAAGACCCTTCTTAGAAGCATCAGGAGTGCAAGGAGGAAAAAAGCAGGAAAAGGGACTAGTATCTGTCTTTTAAATTAGTGTTCAATCACTGGCCCTCAGTCAGCATGGAAACACTCAGGACACCCAAAAAAGGTAAGAGTGCTTCCTTCCCTCATTCCTTTCTCTTTCCCCTGCTTTTGTGAAGACTTTCCTCCAAATCCTCTGAAGCAGCTCGCTTATCCATTTCCCAGGGGAAATTTTCCCCTCTCCTAATCCATTTGCTGACACACAAATATTGGTGAGTCTTTCTGACTTTTGGCAGCGTTACCATTTTGAATGAATGCTACCCCAGAAGTTGAACAGTGGAAACATGAATGAGTTCTCATCTCTACATTACCATGGGTGTTTAGGAAGATGATGATGATGCATCCATCTACTAGGCTGTCTGCAGGTGGGGAGTGTTATCTGTGGGCACATAAAGCTCGAAAAGGGAAAGCAGGGGTAGGCATCAAGAAGACTTAGATCCTTCCAAATGTGAACATGCCACTTATATGTGCTCAGATGGCCCTCAGCCCCACACTCTCCATAGCCCAAACACAGGTGTTAGTCTCTTAAAAAAAACTTAAAAAAAAAAAAAGAGGAGACAATCCTGTGGCCTAGAAAAACAAAGGTGGAATCATAGCCTGGTTTGGGTTGGAAGGGTCATTTAGTTCCAACCCCCCTGCCATAAGCAGGGACACTTTTCATTAAACCAGACTGCTCAGAGCCCCATCCAAACTGGCATTGAACACTTCCAGGGAAGGGGCATCTACAACTTCTCAGGGCAACCTGTTCCACTGCAACACCACCCTCACAGTAAAGAATTTCTTCCTGGTATCTAATCTAAACCTGCTCTCTTTCAGTTTAAACCCATTCCCTCTTGTCTTGTCACTAAATGGTCTTGCAAAAAGTCTCTCCTCACCCTTCTTGAAGGCTCCCTTCAGGTACTGGAAGGACAAAATTAGGTCACCTTGAAGCCTTCTCTTCTCAGGCTGAACAATCCAAATTCTCTCAGCCTTTCCTCATAGGAGACATGCTCCATCCTTCTAACCATTTTCATGGTCCTTCTAACCATTTTCATGGTCCTTCTCTGGACCAATCAGACCTACTGAGGAGCTATTCTCTGACTGAACACTTTAGGCTTGCTCCATCCCCAAACCCTGCTGTGTCTACAGGTTCCTCCCTCTACCATTTCTTTGCTAGAGATCCACTCAGATCGAGACCACCACAAGTGAGGAGGGAATCCAAGGGCAGGAATCTCTCTGGTCCTTTGTTCCATGCTTTAACCACCATCTTTTCTTAAAGATACAAGTACAAAAGCAACAGTTCTCTGCTCTCTTTCTAGACTGGAAAGCACCGTGTTTCAGACAAATGCAGCAGAGTCTGCAAGCTTCAGCCACTTGAGAGACGTATGTAGGATCGGGGATAATTCCTAACATCCACCCCCAGTCTCGCTCCGCTGTGGGGGCTGCACAAATTCAACTCATTCATCATGAGCTCTTTGAAACGGGGCCCCGGGGACAGAGGATGTCACCGGCTGAACAGGATCTTTTCAGAGTGGAAGCCTGACTGCATGCTTGATACAATAAACACCGCCCTCCCTGAGCACAGTGGCAACAGGCCGGGGCCCCCACTCTCCCCACCACCCGCTCCCCTCTTGACAGCCTGTCGAGGGAAGAATGGAGGGCTGGGAACAGATGGAAGAAGGCAGATAGGGTGAGAGAGAGTTAACAGGCCAGGAAACAAAGGGAAGGCACTCCCCTCCCAGCAAGGGAGGAGCCTGCCACCAGGAACTGTCCCCAGCCAGCGCAGGTCCCAGCATGCTTTGTCTGCCCAGCTCCTCTTCACCACCAGTGTGCATCCCAGCCAGATGATTCCTACCAGGTCCAGCTACCCTGCCCTGCCTCTTGGCCAACACCTCTGACAAAGCACCTCCCTCCGACAGCCTAAAAGTACTGGCAATTCCTCTGCAAACTGATTTTGCTCTTCTGAATGAGCAATTTTAGAGGTAAATGGGTTAGCCAAGACCCCTCGGCAGCATGATCTCATTTCCCACCCTCCCAAATCAATGTAGGCAGAATATCCCCGCAGCACATCTATCCCCCAAAGTATGCATGGAAGGAAGGCATTGTGCTTTAAGCCTCAGCTGAGCAGTAACACAGTCCATCCTTTGTGTCTACCCATGTAGAAATCCAAGTTTCCTTCTGATAGAAAAAAACAAAAACAAATCCCGAAGAGCACAGCACGCAGCACCCACTGGTTACAGAGCAGGTGAAGGTAGTAACATTCTGAAAGAGAGAAGCTGAGGATAAACCATACAGCCCCTGCTCATCCCCAGAGATAAACAAGGCTTGTCTGTCCTTGCTCTGTCTCCGCACCATTATCAAGAGAGAGAACTGTGAGGTGAATTTAGTGCAGGAGAGAAGTCCTCGTGAATGAGTCCTTCTGTCTGCAGAGCAGGCTGTGAGAGTACAGCATGAGCACAAGCGTCCTCCAGACGCACCATCAGAGAGTACATGCCCGATCCCTCCAGGCTGGGGAGTCACCCAGGCTCCAAGAAGTCTCGCTATCACTGCTTCAAAACATGCTGGCTTGCACCTCAATGAACATCATTGGCTTTGATACTGCATTCAAGTAACTTGGCTGAATCCCTCTGTGCTCACCACACTAGGGCACTGGGGCTTCCTCTGCCTCTCATGTTGTTTGGTTACAGGCAAGGCGGGCACAATCCCCTCACCAGAGCCTGTTTTCCACGCCTGCTCTGCACAGGTGGATGACCTGTTATGTGGTGCAGAGGAACACAGGATCAGGCCTTTCCATTCAGTACCTCTTTTCTTACCCCACGTGTACCCCCAGATGTTTTGCAAGATCCTGGCAATTTATGCTGTCCTACAGAGGGTCTGGAAGGCTTCAAGCACTACCATAGGTGGAAAATGCTGTGTCTGGGCTATCAGACACTAACTGGCTGGAGGGTCACAGAGGAGTGGCATACAGGAGTAGGCAGCAGTAAGGCAGCACACAGTGGAATTGGGATCCCAGATCCATTATTTATCATCTTTGTTCACGCTCTGGATAAAGGTGGCAACAAAGCCTGTTACTGATGATTCCCACAGGACACTTAATCAAGAGAGGCTGCCAACACCAATCAAGAGAGAATAATAAAGCAAGAGGGAACTGGAGGTAAAAGCCAGAGGTTGAAAACAGACGGTGATTTACGAGCACAGGAAAAAGTAATCTGAACCAGAGGTATTCAACAAAAGGGACTCAGGGAGGGATGGGAAGATGTTGGAGATCCTAGAAGACATCTTCTACAATATAGCTGACAGTGTGCTAAGGCCAATTCTGCAACCTGATAGTGTTGGTGATGGGGGAAGCCAAGGAGACCCAAAGAAGCCTATGCAGAGGCATCACATTACAGATCACTGGAGGGTAGTCCTTCATTGCCAGGCACTGGAAATGCCACACATCAAATGCAGTGTTGGCTCCAAGCTGCTCAGCAGATGGACAAACTAGGAAAAACTGAAGGAGCAGCAAAAGAGAAGAGTGGTGGATGTACTGGGAAGCAAAATACAATTCAACCAAGCAAATTAACAGTCAAGGAGCACGTGACACACCCGTAAGTCCCCAAAGTTTGCAGACACCAAGAGAGAGGGCAGTTGTTCTGCTGGCCTGCAGGACTACAACTAAAAAGGTAGTGGGGAGAACCAGATGACAGGTAAAGCCACACCAACTCTCATGGAGGGATCGATCAGGCTACTGGGTAGTCTCGCCACTCTGGCCCCACATGGTTTGAGCCAATAAAAACATGAGCAGGCAAAGCATCAGGGAACATTAGCACACATCAGCACACTGGCTTGGAAGAACTTCTAGCCAGGTAACCTGCTGCAGTAACAGGAAACCCAGCGCCTCATGGGCTCCGTCCACTGAGCTCCCAGCTCAGGTCATTCCAGACATTAACTCTAAATCCCATTACAGATCTAACAGATCTAAAGCCCAGGAGTTCAACCACACCAGGCTCTCCGACCTGTTTTACAGCTCCTGGTCTCTGACCTCTCTCTTAAAGGTCCAGATCACTTTTTCCACTACTAATCTTCCCAAAACTTTATTCCTTCTACCCTTGAAGGGACAGCTATGCCCTTCCTTTCCACCACCCACTCTTTACAGAGTTAATACCCGCACACACCCAAGCTCAAGAAAAGGAAGTGAGAATGCTGGAGCAGCATATATGTCAAATATGTCCCAAACAGTCCAAATCTAAATCAGTCTAATCAACTACCACCGTGTCTCCAGCATCTGCAAGGCAAAGCTGAGCTCATCCCACTTTCTTTGCCATCAGAAGACAGGTAGCAACTAGCAGTATTCCTTGAAGATCTTTTCTCTTCTCCACCCCCTCCAACCTTACATGGTGCCCACAAATACCAACAGGCAAGAAAAACAACCCCGAAACAATGATGCAATTGAGAAAAACAACCTGGCAGGTAGAAGGACAGACTCTCACACTCACCTAGGTAAATGTCTCCAAATGAACCGCTGCCAATCTTTCTGCCCAGCCGGTATTTGTTCCCTACTCGAAGCTCCATGGTTCAGTCGTGCTGAGAAAAGAAGCACAGAAAGCACAGTGTCAGAGCAGAAACAGGAAGTGAATCATGTAACCCTACAGAAGAGACCTCCCCACTTCACCCAGAGGCTGAGTACAGTTTTAAATCTTGAAATACATCACTTTCTACATAGCCTCTATCACCTCTCCTATCTCCTGAACATCCAGGGACAGCATGAGCTAGAAATGCTGCAGGAACACAACCCTCTCAAGCATGTTTTCCATGTTCCCATTATTAGAAAGAAGAATTCAATCTCTTCCCTATCATTTTGTTCAGAGACTGGGGAGGGGATCAGGAAATCTCCTCTAAGAAGGTTTCAGTGGATGATCATGCCACACCACTGTAAAGAGGTACTGCTCCTTGTACCCTACAGTACCTGGCACCAGGACAGAAGTAACCTCATGAGACACCAAAGAGGACAGGCATAAAAAACCCTATGAGAAGAAGTTGCTCTCTGGCCCAGCCCTAGTCCAACCACCACTCAGTGGTGGTGAAGCATAGGACTCAAGAGCTGCAAGAGACAGACAGACTGTATCACTCCTAGGCAGAGGCTGGCACAAGGGACAGGGAGGAGACATCTTGCTGAACTGAACCCTTCGAGGCACTGACTAGGAACAGCACTTGCTTATCTCCACAGGCTTCTGCTGATGGGATCACAGCCTCCTTTGGTCTACGTGAGCCTTTCCATCTCTGCTGCCTACCTAGGTGTGCTGGCTGTTTGTTTTTAGCAGCTTGGGCCTTTCCTCATCCCTTTACCTGAGGTGATTAGCTAACCCTTTGACCTGATATACCCCATCAACATGCCCAGGCTTAGCCTCCTCACCTTCCACAGAAAACCAACTAGGTGGAAGGACCACAGCCAGAGATTGTTCTCCCTGCCAATCTCAACTTCTGCTGCTAAACACCTCTGCCAAACACAGTTCCAGCAGTTCACCCTTAGCAGACCACTTTCCCTCGCCCCTTCTTATGGCCACCAACTTATTCTAGGAACCACATCTCTTCCTAAGACAGCCAGTGCGTCTTCTTTTAGAGGGATTTGCCACAGTCCTAATTTATGCAATGCCACGTTATTAGCATACAAAATGCAGACACAGAGCCTGTTGGGGACAGGAAAGGTGAGGAATGATTCATGTTTTCACAAGTGGGTGAGAGGAACTTTCCCTTGCTGGAGCTTGGTGGGAAGGAAGCATCACTGAAGGAAAGAAGGGAGGAACAGCCTTGTGAGACAGAAGTACAAAAAAAATAATCCCAGCTACAGGATTCTGGGCATACTATAAACCCAGAGCTGCTTCTCCTGCCCCAGGAGATGGGATTACAGAAAGAAGAATGGACGGACTGTAGAGATGTACAGGGAAATAATCCTATCAAGGCATTCAGGGGACATTGTGAACCCTGAAAGCAGAGCTCCAGTCATCAGGAACCACACACAAAACACTTAGAGGTGGAGTCTCCTCACCTAGTATTTACTTATGCATGTGGGTTTCTGTGCATCTAAAGTCTACAAAACCCTGTGGCTATTTCTGACTTTCTTACTACAAGGAATGTAGGCAGAGCCTTGGGAACCAAACCAGGAGGCAGGCGGACCTGGGCGAGGGCACAGCAAACAGACATGATTTTTATCCGCTGCCTGCTGTTCTGTATAACCACATTAACATACATCTGACTTGCTTACACTCCTACTCCAATAAACGATCAAAGGTCTGTGTCCCCGGGAACCTGTCACACCACTGTCAAGAAGACAGCTCTCGAACCTCCTTCCTTCATGGTGTGTTTACCCAGGCCTGCGAACCCTGAACACTTCCACTTGAGTCAAACTCCCAGCTGGGGCGAGCACAACCGAGCACACGGCAGAGACTGGGCAATAGGTCTCTGCGGGGTCTCCTCTGCACCAGGGCACAGTGGATACTGCTCTGCAACACCACAGCCCCAAGCCTAAATTCAGTCCCACCCTTCTGGGACAGACAGGAGCCAGGTTAAGAAGAGTTTCTCACACATGGAGGCAGCAACCCTTCTAGCTGATTAAGCAACAGGCTCCAAAGGGGAATCTAAAAAATGCTCTGGGGCGCGGGGGTGGAAGCGGGAAGCAGGATAATGGAGTAAAAAAATCATGGTCTCGCACAGCTGTCATTTTGCCTTATCTCCCCCCCCAGCACACACATACAAGTGTGCGTAGAAAACCTGGGTGGAGGATAGCCAGGGAGCAACAGCCTGGATTCATGGTCATGGGGCAGGACACACATCCCACCCCCTCAACAGCTGTTCCAGGAGTTCAAACACCTATCATATTTGCTTCTACTTCACACACGTACCCCCACCATCTACAGCTTCCACTCCTATAATCTGATCTTCAGGTCTACTGTCATAAAGAAAATTTTACATATAAAATATATATTCTTATATGTGACATTTATATTACTCCCTATATATTATTTATATGTGTAAAATCTAAGACATCCCTCCTACCCACCCCCCAGCAGGCTTAACCCCCCCAGCCCTGCCACCCTTCCTGCACTCTACAGCCAAGGCAGCATTCCCAGGGGCTGCAAGGCAATCATTTAGTTAAACCATTTAGTTTTCCATAAGGGATTAACACACATACAACCTCAAAGCGAGTGTGTGCTCTGCATGAGCGTTTGCATACGTGAATATCCAATACTACACAGCCTCAGAAAAATAATAATACTATCCAGCCGTCAGCAGTGCTTACACACACACACCATTTTGCACCAGCCCCTTTTATATAATATAAAATACCCACGTACAGGCACAAAGGCCATTATATAAACACACGATAAGAGTTGATACCACACTGCTGTGCCAGATACGATGGCGACCAAAGATGCAGGGAACATCTTGGGCGGGGGGAGGGGGCTGGGGAACAGGAGGGCCACCTCTGTCCCACCCGAGGGGGTCAGGAATGAGAAGATGCCCTGTCTAGCAAAGGCCACGCAAAACCAAACCCACGGTTCCATAATGGAGGCTGCCGATCCCAGCACTGCTCTGGCTTTCAGTGGAAGTGTGGGGAGTGGGGGCTGCTTTGCTCATAGACCATGGAGGCTTTACACGGCCTTTTTTTTTTTTGGCGGGGGGGCTGGGTATATGAAGGAAATAAAGGAAGAGGCTGGCAAAACAGTAATTTGAACTGGCTTAAAAATGGGATGTAAAAAAGAAAAAACCACCGTTTTGATTGAAATGCAAAACATCAAACCCCTCCAGACCCTTTCACACTTACAATAAGGAGAGCAGCAAATAAGGTGGGGGGAGAAAAGAAACGCCATGCACAGAGCATTTGGACTACATCTGAGGAAGAAATAGCCGCAACAGGAAAACAGGGAGGGAGGGGGAAACAAAAAAAAAAATGTCCCTTACACCCCCACCCCCTACAGGCAAAACACTACGCGAAGACAGTCGTACCCGGGCTGTTATTTTTCCGGGTAGGTAACAAAAAGCTGCCACCCCCGGGAACGGCGCTGAACTTCTCCTCATACCCCCCCCCCTCGGCCCCGGCCGCGGCCATCGACCCCCGCCCGTACCGAGCCCCCACAAGACGAAACGCCGACCCCTACAACCTCCCCCCAAACGCAGACACCCCTTCTCCCCCGAAACAAGCAAAGACGGGGGTTGGGGAGGGAGACAAGGAGCATCAGTGAACGGAAGGGGTGGGGGGTTTAAATCATCCGGGGGGAGGCCCCCTGCCGGGACCCCCGCAGTCCCCCGCCGAGAACACACGGCACCCCCCTCCCCGATCGGCCCCGCCGGCAGCCAGGCAGGGCCCCGGCAGGCGGAGAAAGGGAAGAAGGGGGAGCCTTCCCCCTCCCCCCCCAATCTGCCAGTGGCGGAGGGGGCGACCCCCTCCCCGCGCCCCCACAAAGGGGCTTTTGTCCCCCGCCGCCCCCCCGGCCCGGCGCATCGCGCCCTGCCCTCCCCTCCCCCGCCCCCTCCCCCTCCCTCCGCGCACACAAAGAGCCGGAGGGGCCGCCTTTCCCCCGGGGTTTGCGCCCCAAGATGAGGGCGGGCGCCCCCCATACCCACCCTGACGGGAAGGGGGCCGTGTGGGGATGCTGCTCCGCCGGCTGTCAGGGGGCCAGGCGGCCGCGGCGGGGAGGATGACGGAGGATTGGGGAGGGCTGGTGGCGGCCGTGCCCGGCGCGTCCCTCCTTCGCTCGGCTCGGCGCGGCGCGGCGCTGCCTGCCGCCTCCCGCCCGCTCGCCGTCCCCTCCAGCCGGCGTGTGCTCGGCACAGCCCGGCGCTCACCCAGTTTCCATTGAGCCCCGGAGCCAAACCCACTGATGTCACCCAGCGCAGCCCCGGCCCTCCTCCTCCTCCGCCTCCTCCTCCGCCCGCCGTTAAAGGCGCAACCGCCGCCGCTCCCGCCGCCTTCCCGCCTGCCGCCCTCAGCTTCGGCGAGGGGGGCACACACACGCACACACAAACACACACAAACACACACAAACACACACAAACACACACAAACACACACAAACACACACAAACACACACAAACACACACAAACACACACAAACACACACACGGGCTGGGCTTTGGGGGGCGCGACCCCGCTGAAGGTTTCTCCTCATTGGGGCAACAGCAGGGTAGCCCCACATGGGGATGATCAAACCTGGGTGCTGGGTGCCATCGCATTGGCAGCGGATGCCAAGCAGGGGTCCACCAGGAAGGCCAGTGAGGCATCAGAACCACCCTAACCCCACAGAGAGGGTCAGGGCTCCTCAGCCCGCACCCCTCAGGAGCAGGAACACACCTTGGGTGGAGCACTTGCAAATCCACACGAATGACGAAGCACACATATAAACCCTAACCTGGATGGACAAGGTCCATGGGGCACCCACCAGCAGATAGGTGCAAAGCTGGGGGTACCCCACAGCCCCCAGGGTGTTTGGGGGCCAGGTGGCCACAGCAAGCCCCAGAGCATCTCTGAAAGCCAGCTGATTTAGGGGAGCAGCCATACATCAGACCTGTATGGTGGTGTAGGAGCAGACCCCAGGACAGGGAAGTATTTGCAGGCTCCTGGGAGGTTGGGACTGGACGGACAAAGGAGGATGGAAGTGCTGTTTGAGCTCTGGGAGCGGGACTGTAGGAGAGACTGGAGGCCAGTGTAGGGTGAGCGGAAAGGGAATAGCAGTAGGACCTGCAGCTAGAGCCAGATGATGCCCAACTTCACAGGCAGGGATGCCTCATCAGGGTACAGGAGATGCTTCAGCACAGTCATCTCAAAGTCAAGAACCATGGTTCCTGAAGGAGGAGATAACGCGCAATAGGGAAGAGCTCAGGAGCCCCCATACCAGTATAACCCTTGGGTGCATCTAAGCCAGGACCCCAATGTCAACTTCCAAATACACAACATAAACACGGGCTGTTGGCACCAAGAGGCCCAAGCTGCAGCCGTGTGGGCAGCTTGCACTACAGAAAGCAGTCTCTGCTTCAAGCCATACCGAAATGGTGGACTTCAACGACCTATATCTCACTGCCAGTTCGTGCCCACACTGAGTTGTTGGGCCATTGAGACCTGGGAATAGTTCCTTGCTTATGCAAGCCTTTGGGAACCAGTGGTGTTTCCCTCTCACTGCTGGGCCAGTTTTATCACAGAACTTTGCCTCCACTTGGAGAAGTTAAAATTTAATTGAGTTTTTTGTAGTAATGACATTTCCTTACACATGCTCCATTGAACCTCTGTCGTTTCACAGCTTATGTAACAGTGAGCAGATGGGAAGGCAGGTAATAAAGTTTGAGCCACTGCCAGATCCAGCCAAGGGTTGGGTTACCCTCCTTCCCTGGGTGGGTGCACATCAGCCAAGAGGGGATTTGCTGGAGCACAGCATCACTCACGATTTTGCTGTGAGTGGCAGGCTCATACAGGCACTGAGCGAGGTGAGCTCTGACAGAGAACCCGGAAGGATAGATCTGAATCAGAATCCAGGAGAGGCAGCTCTCAGTATGGATGGTGGGAGCAAAGTCTGGGGCGATACTGACTGGCAGGCAAGTGTAATGTTTGTGAGGACAATGGCCATGCCAGCTCTCCCCCTATTGCTGGCTGAGGCAGTGGGAGGGAATTTGAAAGAATCCCAAATGTAGATACAGTCCTGGGGGATGAAATTGAAGTGTGCACATGGACACTTCAGTTACCTTTATTTTAATCATTTACAGCTTAAAATAAGAACTCTTTAATTAGAAACATTCCCTTAATTGAATTGTAATCAAGTTTTTAGTGCTGGCTAACCACATGATCTAATAACACCCACCTTTCTTCAAGTATTGCCTAGTTACACCTCTTCTTATAGAGTAATTTTTATTAGGGAGCCTGGTCCAGGTGCTGCTGATTTGGCAATGTGCGTAGCAGCCAGTACTGCGGGGACCCTGTCTGCGTCAGGGATGTCAGTGCTCCAGTGATGCAACAGGTAATTCCTGCCCCAGTGTCTGAAAAAGGGAAGTGTTATATACAACACAAGCAGCAGGACCGCAACTAGAGAGAGGTTGGGGTTCGGTTGGAGAGGGAAGAAATTTGTGGGACAAGCAGAATCCATGCTCACAATCTGTGCTGGGTCATCTCTGTTCCTCTCCAGTAATTAAACTGGTGTGCAGCTGCAGTCACATGCATCTTTTCTCCTCTGTGCACTTCTCCAAAGATGAAGACCCCCTCAGGTTTAGCCCTAATGAAGCACCACAATACAACAACCGATTTACACTAAGACTCTGTTCGAACAGCAGCACCTGGAAGGCTGTCTAACCTCCCAGACCCAGCAGTGAGACACAGCTGCACTCAGAACCCTATCTCAGGATGAAAACCCTGTAGGCCTTACCTCATCCTGTCTCCCTGGTTTGCCTGGAAGGGATCTTTGTAAAAACACAGAAGAGAGTCCAAGCCCCTTAGCTCAGCAACTGGGGGACCTGCACCTGGGACACCTCATGCCTACTTTTCCCAGGGTTCAGATATGGTCAAAGCATCCCTAGATGATACAGGGAGTGCTGCTTCTGAAGGCAGGCAAGCTGAAGATGGGCTATATGGGGCTACATTTGGCTGCTGTCCTATTCACATGGGAAGGTCCTTAAGCTGTCCCCAGCAGTCAAGCTGCAGCACCGTAGAGGGAACCCATGGCAACGTGTCTTGAGCTGAGTCTTGTGGGCTGGTGTATCCAGGGGGGCTGTACCTCACTGTGCACACAGCCAGCCTCACCACTGCCCACCATGTCATTCCTCAGGTAGGAAAGGAAAAGAAAGACTAAAGTTGCTCTGTTTATTCACAGTGTTATGGCTGGGTGGCCTTCCAGAATCACGGTATATGATATTCATAGTACCTAGTAAAACTCGTGGGAAAGCTGAGCTTCAGTGACCTAGCAGACCTCAGCTAACTGCCAGGTCGCATTTGGCAGCTCTGCCTGATCCACAGTGAGCAGAATCCCATTTCACCCACTATCTGGAGAAGGACATACTGCTCTGAAGACCAAAGTCACTTCGCCACAGAGAGACTTGCCTGTGCTAGGGAAGTGTGAGTTATCAGGGAAAGAGCAGAGAAAACTTTGACACTGTGCTGAAGCTCTACTTCTGCAAGGCCAGTGAAAGCAAGAAAAGATGAGAAGTGAGAACAAACGCATTGCCACCTGCAATTCAAGAGCAAAGGTACCTGAGAAGGCAGGTACCTGTGGCTTGACACATCTAACAGGGTTGACAGAGTTCTTCAAAGCATTAACTCACAGTTCATTCAGAATATGCAGCCCCTCACTCCAAAAAAAAATGATTGATGTACATAAGGTCTTCTTCTCACAATATACACTCTAGTTTCTCAGTACTTTCCAAATAATAATAGATTTGTCTTTTCAATACTCATACCAAGCAAGAGAGTAGCATTTTAGAGAAGACCCAGCACTCCCGGAGGGAAGGTCAAATGCAGCCTGCAAGGTGGGGATGCTGATCTGAGTGCTTTGCCAGAACGCTCTGCATTTTAAAGCCTTTTCTAGAGTCGAGTGCAAGTCCCCATCGCAGGAGGGAGAAATAAATACTCCTGCAAATGAGACATCAGGATCCTAGGATAGCACAAGGCTAAAAACAAAGCAAAATGCCAAAATAAATAAAACATAGCTAATAGCTACCTCTGAAAAGATTGCTGTGAGTGACTCGCTCAGCATCAGGTAGGAAATCCGCAGCAAGGGCAGGGATCCAGGCCAACACAAAACTGGCTCAACAATGAGTCACTCCTTTTTCTTCACACTTTCTGGGGAAAAAAACCCAACAAAACAAAAACAACAAAAAAACAAATTATGCTGAGTCCCTGCAAAGAGTCTTTTTCATGACATAGCCCAGGCTCATCCAGAGCACCATCTAACCTGTGTGCTGCAGGTGTCCCGTGGAAAATAAATCTGTAGCCACATAATTAAAGACTCAACCATAATTCATATGCATGAGGACATTTAAGGGCAGTTGCACAGCCAGCCTTGGTGCTGACATTTCTCAGTGATGAGAAATGTGTATTCTGATAGAGAGCAGCAATTGCTTGTCCTCAGCAAGGAGCAGCACTAGAAAGAGGTGAGACATGCTGTTGGGTGGCATTTAGGGTAACAGTACAGGAACAGTAAGGCTTGGGAGGAAGATTTGGGAGGAGACCCTTGTTAGGGCACTGGAGAAGTCTCCGATCAGAGAAACACAAGCTGATATAGCCATCCTCCCTGTTCCCTTGTCCCCTCTAAGCTTTCCCATTTTGGGTTTTCTTTCTTAAGGCTTGTCACACAGCACTAGGCTCTGGGCTCAGCCACTGCCCCTTCCCAGGTCCACCTCACCTGCCCTTCCCTGTTTCTTCCCCTTCTGTATGCCCAGGCTGAGTCTCCTGCCCAGACATACCAGTCTGGCTCAGCTGTGTGTCCTTGGCCAGTCAACTGCAGCCTTCCCACCACATGCCATCCCCCTCCACACAAGCTGCTCCCTATCGCTAGTCCAAGCCTTCCTGCATAGACGGTTGGTGGGAACTCCCCTCCATCACCAGTCCCCATCTGTTACCAGAAATTCCCACTCCCCAGGCAAACAGTCTGAGTGCTGCCCATATCCCTTCCATCCCCTCTTCCTATTGCACTGACAATCACCCCTCCTCTGCTCTTCCCATTCCACATCTCTAATCACCATGCCTTTGCTCTTCCCATTTTCCATCTCACTGCCCCAGCCAGCCTTGCTTCCTGCTCCCGATTTTCCTGGTCAGCTATCCCTAGTCACCCCAGCAGCTCTCACGCAATAGCCTCTTTGCAAA